CTCCTTATAAATTTTTTTGGTTTTTTTTTTTTTTTTTTTTTTTTTTTTTGTACCAGGTATCAAACTTGGGTCCTTGTGCTTGCAAGGCAGGCAGCGGAAACACTGAGCTAAATCCCTTGCCCTGTTTGGTGCTTATGAAGGGACAGACCCTGGGGATAACTGATGAATTAAAACATACCCTCTTGGCTGGGGTACAGCAGCACAACCCTGTAATCCCAGACTCCAGAGGCTGAGACAGGAAAATCGCCAGGGGTTCGAGGCCAGCCTTGGGCTACATAGTGAGTTCAAAGTCAGCCTGAACTACATAGTGAGACCCTGCCTCAAATAAATAAATAAACAAATTAACATTCTTGCTACTCCCAGGAGCTAGGTATACAGTAGAAGTAACTCCCAGCTACCTCTGGATGATATTCCTTTTCTTTTTCCTCCAATACCATCACTCTTCTATGCTAAATGCTCCTTACATTTTCCAACATTAAAGCTTTCTAAGCATACTGAAGAGAAAGGGTTCTTGGATTGTCTGCTTTACATTTACCTTCCTAATTACTCGTTGAAGATCTGCTTTTACACTTGCATCATGAAGTCTATGATGGCAAGGACTGTATCTCCTTATTTATAATTTCATCTCCAACACTTAAATCAGCATCTGGCACCCAGAAGACATTCAACAAATATCAACCGATTAAAACTAGGAATGTGGCCTAGTAGGTTGCAGGTGCTCCTGTGTGGATGGTTGAATGAATAGCTGGAGTAGCCGATGAGTAGACAAAGGTGGGTGAATGGTGAATGGGGATGGAAAGTGGACAGGCCAAGGTGGGCGAATGGGTGGAGAGACAGGGTGGTTGGTGAATGGACGTGTGGATGGGTAGTGGGACAAGTGAACAGGTGGATAATTGGATGAATGACCGTATTGATACGTGAGTAGGTAGATGATTGAAAAGATGGAACCCTTCAGCATAGTGACCTGGTCCTTGTGATAATGTTCAGTTCATAAAGAAATGTGAATTTGCTCCATTGAGGAAGGAATCACAGAAATGCCACTGGAGTTTGAATGTGTTTACAGCACAGTGTGCGGCACACGGGGGTGGGGCATTAATAAATGTCTGAGTGAGTGAATGAAATCACACGAATAGATGAAGGGAGATGAACTGAGCCATTGGACTTCTTTCTTGGTGTTTTACTTTTTTTTAAATCAATTTTCTTAACTACAAGAAAGGGTAAGGAGGGAAAAAGGGAACCACTGAGGCAGTGGATGTATCCTCAATAGCAGAGTATCATGGAAACCACCTACCTCTTTCTCTCTCTCTCTCTCTCTCTCTCTCTCTCTCTCTCTCCCCCTCCCTCCCTCCCTCACACGCACACAGACACAGACACACACCTCTCTCAGACACCAGCTGACCCAGAAACCCCTTCCCAACCTGGTGCACTATTCTCAAGCTATTCTGTGTGTAGCCTCCAAAAATTCATCGCCTCATCTTCCTCCAAGAAGTGCCCTTGACTGTTGGGCACCAAAATAACCTCCATCTTCTGGCAGTGGCTCACAACCCATGACTGATGGGTGCACAGCCACAAAACTCCACCCACTTGTGTCAAATGGGAGCTCTGTGGTCATCACAGTCAACCTTTGCTGGGGTCCTTCCCGAGCTGACTTGCCTTCCTTACTCTTTTCCTTCTGAGAGACCCCATCAGTGAGCCAAGTGCCCCTTGAATCCTGAGCTCAGCCTCTGCCTCTAGGGAACCTGGCCTAAAGCAGTCTCTAGCCCCTTTACCATTCCCAGACCTAGAGTTAAACTCGGTCCTTTGTTATCGTCCTTTGGGTGCGGGCTCGCTGTGGGAGAGTCCTCTGCTGTACAGCCGCCAATCTTGATCATTCAGTTGTCTATGCAGGGGTCTCTCTTCTCTCTCCTGGGACAGCAGCAACACCAAGTGTTCCAGAGTAGGATGTATTCGGGGAGGGCCCATGCTGCCTGCCCACATCTGGAACCATTGTCACATTGTCCCTGTCTAGGAGAAAAGCCAGTTGGTGTGAGTGGTGGTCAGGGCTGCACATTGGCCTGAAGCTCTTACCCACTGGGTACATCCACAGACGGGGTTGCTCTGCTGTTTTTCACTGGGGGTAAGAACTTCAATATACTACTTTTTAAGGGACACGATTCAACTCATAGCAGACATGAAGCCTGAAGCCATTCATTGCAAGAAAGGAGTCTGAAGGCACTTCTTAGACCCCTGACCTGCCTCTAGCCCTGCGCTTTCCAAAACCTACTTAGATGTTCCTTGATTCTGTGGACTATAACCTCATATCTTACCATACATCACTTTTAATTTTGCATCTCTGCCCCTTTTAACGCTGAACCAGTTTAAGTTACCTATGACTATAATATTCTAACAGTTGGACCCAATTCTCCAGAACAAAGGGCTGGATGTGTCACTCACCCCTCTCCCATCACAGCTCCTGAGACCCTTCTCCATCAACCTCCAGGTGCAACCTGGGCAAGAAGAGGCCAAACGGTTCCTTGGTCATCTTAGATGAAAACAAAATGTATTTCCCGTTACCTTTTGTTTAACGAGAGTGCCTCTTGCCTGAAGTATTTTAGTTCAAGAAACAACAAAGCTTCACCTAGTAGACCGAGTTGAATCTTTGCCCTAAACTTATCACATGATTATTGTGATATTTAAATAGGGGAAAGGAATGTGAACGCCGAACATCAACTACAAAGTGTTGCCTAATAGCCATGGCCCTATCTCTAACTGAGGAGGACTGAGCAATAAACCTGAGATTCAAAACACCCCTCTGGTTTATCATCAATCCCACACCCTGGCTTAGTTTCCTTTTAAACATTGTTATGACCTTAAGTTGTGTTCTCTTCGCTTTTACACACTCTACTGTCAGTCTTTTTCAACACAAAACAAGTTCCACAAAGGCAAGGACTTGATTTCACTCACTGCTCTATCCACAGGTGTTTGAAGAAACAAATGAGTGAAGGGAAAAATGAATGAATGGAACATAAGCTCCAAGCCGGTTACAGTTAACACTGTGGACAAGTTATTTAACCTGAGTTTTAATTTCCTCATCATTAAAATTAGCATGATAAAATCTACCTGGTTAAGCTATTCCAGGAAGTAAGATCAACTAAGCTTAATTATTCAAACTGTACTCTGCAGCCTGGGAACATGACTTAGATGCGGATTCTCAGCCCCTAAACCAGACCTGCTGATGCAGAATCTGCGCCTTAACAAGATCCCAGGTGCTCCCCATAACATTACAGATTGAAAAGCCTTGAAGTCAGGTACACGAAAATGTAAACTATACAGCAATAAATGCATGCATTATTATTATTATTGCATTTTTGCTTGTTTGCCATATGTTCCTACTCAGTGACACACATCCAAAGGACAATCCCAAAGGCCTGTCACAGCACTTAAGAAAGTCCAAATATGTGATCACAGACAAATATGATAATAATAATAAACAGTAAACAACAATCCTAAAGGTCCTCTGATGTATGGCTGAAGAGAATATTAAAAGGCACAAGCTTTTTGTTAAGAAATTTGGCTGGGCCTTCATCAGAGCAGACCAGTGACGACTGCCAGCCACACGGGCACCTCTGCAGCATCCCCCAGCCCCCATGCTCTTGGGCCTCCTTCTTGTGTCAGTACCAGGATCCACACTGCAGAGGCACAGGTGGTCATAAAGGCCATTGTGCTGAGCTCCAGAAGATAGAACAGAAGTAAACAACTGCAATAAGGGCACATCAGAGCCCTGTAGTTGGTAAGTTGGAGGGATCACCACCCCACATCAGAACCCGGACTGTCTTCAGGGCATGGGCAGCTGGAACCTGTAGTAGAACCTTGCAGAGCTCAACCCTGCAGGAAGTCAGGGAGCTCAACTTGGGCCTTGCAGCCAGAATTCAGCCTGAATCTCAGGGGTCTGCCATTGCTAGCTGAGACTAATTGCCTTAGTTCTGCACATTGCTGCCCATATTGTCTATTGTGGCAGCAAAGATACACCCTGAAAGAGGCTCTTCACATTTTTTTTCATTCTTTTCATCTTTTTTTTTTCCTCATTGAGTTTATTGGTACATTTTAGGTATATGGTACAGTTACATTCATCATTGGGATCTTGTACCTTTACATGACAGGTCTTGGTTCTCATTTTTTCCCCTTATCCCTGCCCTCCCTTCACCCCTTCCTCTCTTCCCTATTTACAAATACTTTATTTCCATTTTTTCATTTTCTCATTTTTTTTTCTTTTCTCTTATTTCCTTTCCCCTACCCTTCCCACTTTCCCTACACCTTTAGCCCTTTTCTTCCTATTTCACATTGTCAATTATCTCATTAGGATCTTATGTACCATTATAGTTTTTCACAGCAGAGAAACTATTCGGTATTTATACATGTGTGACTGCCGGGAGTGGTGGTGCCCGCCTGTAATCCCAGCAATCAGGAGGCTGAGGCAGGAGGATCACTGTGAGTCCGAGACCAGCCTGGGCTACATAGTGAGTTCCAGGTTAGTCTTAACTACATAGTGAGACCCTGTTTCAAAAAAAAAAAAGTATACATGTGTGACTTATTTCACTTAGGAGTATATTCTCACTATGTATCCATTTTCCTATGAATGACTAATTTTTCATTCTTTATGGCTGAGTAGTATTCCATTTTATAGAAAAAACATATCTTCTTTACCCAGTCTCCAACTGATGGGCAAATGGGCTGTTTCCAAGTTTTAGCTATTACAAACTGTGCCACTATATCATTCTTTTCCTCCTATTTTTAATTTTCAATTTTTATTTTTAAAAATTTATTTTTTCCCATTCTGCAAATACTTCATTTCTTCTTTTTCCCACTCAGTCTCTTGCTCATGCATGTTATTTTTCATTTCCCTTTCTGTTCTTATTCCTGCCCTAGTTCAGATTTCTTCATTTTCTTTTCTTCTCTCTTTTTCCTTAGCTCAGTTGTTATTAGTTTCAAAGGAAAGTGAATACAATTTATAGCTTCCCTATTACTGTTAAGTTTTTCTATTCTTGTCTTAGTTCTTGCACTCTGTCTTTCCCTCTTGTCTTCAACAGTTCCCTAGAGTTTGCATGATCATCCTGTGTCCTCTGGCTTCACTTAAAACCTTCTCCTATTCTTTTACCTATCTATTTTTCTCCTCCTGACTCCTTTTTTGCCCCCATCCTGAAGGTTAAATTGTTATATTGAAGAGTTCAATCACTATAAACATATTTTGGTCTGGTCCTTGATTTCAATTTAATTCACATGGTTAAAGGTGATAGATTAATAACTACCACAAATGGTTAATTTCTAATCTGTGTTTGATGCTGTTGTATCGCTGCTTGTATCGACTAGGCTAAAGGGTTGCAATTGATTTAATGAGTTTTCTTTTCTGATAGTATGAAAATGAGAGGGTTTTTGAGTCATTAGAGACTCAAGACCTAAAGAGCAGCTATATTAGGAAAATCAAAATACTAACCAAGGAATTAAAACAAGGACAGCCCAATAACAAAAATAAAAATCAGAAAACACTTAAGCAAGGCACAAATACAAACTTCCAGTTCACCAAGAGCAAATTCTATGGAAAACGAGGTGCAACATCTGACAATCAACCACCAGGACACCCTGAACTCATAGCACAGGAAGTAACAAAACAGATCAATCAGGCTCTAGAAAAATTCAAATCAGAAATTTTCCCAAATAACTACAGAGATGATGAGCACAATGAAAGACATGATTAGAGACTCTAGAACAGAAACAGACAAAAAAATAAATGAGCTCAGGACCATGATAGAAGCCATGAATGCCCAGCACAGGAAAGATATGGAATCCATGAAACAGATTCAAACAGATATCCAGGAGTTTAAAAACTCTATTCAAAGCATTCTTAGCAGGGGCTGGGGATTTAGCTCAGTGGTTTTGCTGCCCCTAGTTCATCCCCAGTACCAAAAAAAAAAAAAAGCATTCTCAGCAGAATGAACGAATGTGAGATAGAATTTCAGATATAGAAGATAGGATGGTAGTCAGTGATCATGAAAAGGAAAATCTCTTAAAAACAGTAAGGGATCATGATAAATCAATCCAACAATTCCTAGATAATGCAAAGACTGATAGGAATTCATGAAGTAAAAGGAGAAAGTACAAATGACTTTAAAAAAACTGTCCACAAAGTTAATGACAGAAAACTGCCCAAACAGGGGAAGGATTTTACATATAGATAGGTGAGGCATATAGGACTCCAGTTAGCCATGAACAAAAAAAAAAAAAATCTATACCTAGACATATAATAGTCAAATTCCAAGAAACCCAACAGAAGAACAAAATACAAAAAGCCGTTAGAGCAAAAAAACAAACCACATGCAAAGGAAAGCCCATCAGAATCACAGCAGACTTTTCAACACAATCCCTAGAGTCAAGGAGAGCCTGGAATGAGGTATTTCAAGCCCTAAAAGAAAACATCCTCCAACCTACACTAAAGTATTCTGCAAAACTCTCTTTTAAAATGGGTAGGGAAATAAGATACTTCTATGACAAAGAACACCTGAGAAACTTCATGAATACCAAACCAGCACTCCAAACAATTCTAAACAATATCCTAGAAAAAGACAATGAAGGTCACAGCACCATGAGGCCCAACAGAGCAAATCAATTAGGCAAGGCAAGAAACTAAAGGGAGAGGGGGAAAGATTGAAAAGAGCCAACAACAGGACAACAACACGACAATGATAAGTCAATACATATCAGTTATAACCATCAGTGTCAATGGCCTCAATTCATCAATCAAAAGAAATAGACTGGCAGGATGGATTAAGAAGCAAAATCTAATAATATGTTGTATACAAGAAACACACCTAATGCAAAAAGAAACCCATAGACTGAAAGTGAAAACATGGAAAACAGTTCTCCATAGAACAGGAGACCAGAAAAAAGCAGGGGTAGCTATCTTATTCACAGACAAAGTAAATTTCCAACCAAAACTGATTAAGAAAGACAAAGAAGGTCACTACATCCTTGTAAAGGGAACAATCTAAGAAGAAGAGATGACAATCATAAATATATATATATGCACCAACTATTAATGCTCCCAACTGTATAAACAAATATTAAGGGACATGAAAAACCAAATAAGCACTAATACAATTGTAATGGGGGACCTAAATACCCCAATATTACAAATAGATCATCTAGACAAAAAGTCAACAACGAAATACTAGAACTGAACCAAGCTTTTGAACAAATGGACTTAATAGGCATCTACAGAGTGTTCCACCCCACAGAATCAGAACATACATTCTTTTCAGCTGCACATAAGTCATTCTCCAAAATAGACCACATACTAGCTCACAAAACATGTTTAAATAAATGCAAAGGAAGTGAAGCTATCCCATGTATATCATCAGACCATAGTGCAATTAAGCTGGAGATCAATAGCATAAGAAACTGTAAGAGCTTCACAAACACATGGAAATTGAACAACACTCTCCTGAACAATCAGTGGGTCACAGAGAAAATTAAAGAAGAAATTAGGCAGTCTTTACAAATAAATGATAATGCCAATACAACATACAGGAATCTACAGCACACAATGAAAATAGTTCTACAAGGGAAATTCATAGCAGTGAATGCCCACACTAAGAAAACAGAGAAAGCTCAAAAAAACAATTTAATGATGAATCTTGGGCTCCTAGAAAAGGAACAGCAAGAAAAATCCAAAGCTCGTAGAAGGAAGGAAATTATAAAGATCAGAGCAGAAATCAATGCAATAGAAACTAAGTGATACAAATAATTCAACGAATCGAAGAGTTGGTTTTTCAAAAGAATAAATAAAACTGATAAACCCTTAGCCAACCTTGTCAAAAAAAGGAAAGAAAAGGCTCAAATCTATGCAATTCGGAAGGAAAAAAGTGAAGTCACAATAGATCCAGCAGAAATCCAGAGGATCATCAATACCTACTTCAAGAACCTGTACTGTAACAAAATGGAAAACACAGAAGAAATGGACAGGTTTCTTGATGCTTATGATTTACCAAAGTTGAACAAAGATAAAAAAATTCTAAACACTCCAATTATAATCAGTGAAATTGAAAAGGTAATTAAAAGTTTATCAACTAAGAAAAGCCCAGGTCCTGATGGCTTTACTGCTGAATTATACAAGACATTTAGAGAAGAATTAGTGCCAGTACCCTTTAAACTTTTCAGTGAAATTGAAAGGGAAGCAATACCTCCAAATTCATTCCTGGAAGCAAGTGTAACTTTGATTCCAAAACCAGGGAAAGACCCAACCGAAAAAGAGAGCTACAAAGGCTTGGGATTCTCAGTGGTTCTGTCACCTGCCTCACAAATGAAAGATCCCAAGTTTGATCCCCAGGACAAAAAAAAAAGAAAAGAAAAGAAATTATACAAAACACTTGGAAACAAACAAACAAAAGAACTACAGGCCAATCTCCTTAATGAACATAGATGCAAAAATCCTCAATAAGATACTGGCAAACAGAATACAGAAGGTCATCAAGAAGGCCATACCCCTGACCAAGTTGTATTTATTACAGGGATGCAAGGATAGTTCAACATACATAAATCAATAAACGTAATATGCTATATTAACAGAGTCAAGGACAAAACCATGTGATCATCTTAATAGATGCAGAAAAATCATTCAATAAAATTCAGCATCCATTCATGATAAAAAATCTGCAGAAAATTGGAATAGATGGTCTTTATCTCAACTTGATAAAGGCTATCTATGAAAACCCAACAGCCAACATCATATTAAATGGCCAAAAACTGAAAACTTTCACATTAAAATCAGGAACATGATAATGATGCCCACTATCACCACTCCTCTTTAATATAGTTCTGGAAACATTAGCCACAGCAATTAGACATAAAAAAGAAATGAAAGCAATAAAGATAGGAAAGGAAGAAGTTAAACTGTCATTATTTGCTGATAATATGATACTCTACATAGAAGACCAAAAAATTCCACCAAAAGACTTCTAGACTTAATTGACACGTTCAGCAGAGTAGCTGGATACAAGGTCAACACTCGAAAATCAATAGCCTTCTTATACACAAATAACAGACTTACTGAGACAGAAATTAGGGAAACAATTCCTTTCACAATAACATCCAAAACTATGAAGTATCTAGGAATCAATCTAATGAAAGAAGCAAAAGACCTCTACACTGAAAACTACAGCACTCTGAAAAAAAGAGATTGAAGAGATTGTTAAAAAATGGAAAGATATCCCCTGCTTCTGGGTAGGAAGAATCAACATAGTGAAAATGGCCACCCCATCAAAACTGCTATACAGATTCAAGGCAATCCTGATTGAAATCCCAACAGTATATTTCACAGAACTAGAAAGAAGAATCTAAAAATTCATTAGGAACAAGAAGAGGCCTAGAATAGCAAAAGCAATTCTAGGCAACAGAGACATGGCAGGGGTATCACAATCCCCAACTTGAAACTATACTACAAAGCCACTGTGATAAAAACAGCACTGTACCAGCAAAGAAAAAGACCCAAGGATCAGTGGAATAGATTGCAAGATACAGAAACAACTTCAGATGTACTCAGCTACCTCATCTTTGACAAAGGAGCCAACCATCTTCAGTGGAGGAAAGATAGCCTCTTTAATAAACTGTATTGGAAAAACTCGATTTCAACCTGCCAAAGATTAAAACTAGATCCTTATCTTTCTCGATGCACTAAACTAAAATCCAAGTGGATTAAAAATCTAAATATTAAACAGAAACACTAAATTTGCTGTAAGATAAGTTAGGCAGAACTCTCAAAGACATTGGCATAGGAAAAGACTTTATGAACAAATCCTCAGTTGCATGGGAACTAGCAGAAAGAATCAACAACTGGGATCTCATCTTATTAAAAAGCTTCTGCACTGCAAAAGAAACCATTAAATAAGTAAAAGACAGCTTACAATATGGGAAAAAGTTTTTACCAGCTGCTCCTCAAAGGGCTATTATCTAGAATATATAAAGAACTCAAAAAACAAAACAAAAACAAAAAACAGGCCACCCAAATATAAAGACCTGATTCAAAAATGGGCATCTGAAATGAACAGATATTTCTTAGAAAAAGAAGTAAAAGCATCAAGTAAATATATGAAAAAATGTTCCATATCACTGGTCATTCGAGAGATGCGCATGAAAACAACACTGAGATTCCACCTCACCCCACAAAGAACGGCTGCTATCAAGAAATCAAACAATAACCAATGTTGGTGGGGTTT